GTCGTGTGAGTTTATTGATTAGCCTTCGAACAGGAAGACCATAAGTTTCATTAATATAAGTGAAAAACTTGGGCACTGTGGTAGAATGTAGTTCCATATTAGATTTGTTTATTTGATATAAAGCGCACAGTGATACAGTATTATTTACTTGATTACGTTTCGAGCATAAATTATTGCTCATAATCATATCAATGTAATCACACTTCTTTCGACATCTGATTTTATAGTCCTGTCACCTGATCTCTCTTTGTTTTTTTGTTTTTTGATTGGTAGTAAAGTTTTCCATATCTCTGGTATAGGTGTTGCGTCATTCCTATTACATGTGTTGGGTGTGGATTCGATGAACAAAGATTCAGTAATTAATCTCTCTCTCCACCTAGCTATATTAGACTTAAGTACAGTGGTTTTGTCCCACCCTATTGTGTGGTTGTGTGTTAACGAATGTAATGCAATGGCTGAGTGTTTTTCTAGGTTATTGATCTTATTGGGGTCTGCCGTTCTATGTTTAGCTAAATTCCTATGTTCTGTTAATCTAACTGACCCCGACCGGCTAGTTTCACCTATGTATTTGACTTCACAGTCATTACATGGAATTTGGTAGATTATATTATTTTGCTTAATTGGTTCTATCGGATCCTTAAGCCGACAAAGCTTACCTCTAAGTGAGTTTGTTGGTTTAAATGCCACCCTAATTCCAACCTTGTTGAGAATCCTACGTATGGTTTCTGATGTTCCTTCCTTGTATGGTATCACAATAGAGGTGCTGATTTCCTTTCTACTTATGTTGTCACTATTATTTGTATTTGTATTAGTGTTATTATTTTGCTTCTTATGTGTCCGTGTGAATTTCTTAATAAAATGATGGGGATAATTATTAGTTATTAACGCTTCTTTTATGTGTTTCAATTCCTTATTTAAGTCCTTACAATGACTAGTGAGTTTCTCAGCTCTGTTATTTAGACATTTGACTAAACCCGCTTTAACTGACACTGGATGAGATGACTTGAAGTCTAGATACCTGTTAGAATGTGTTGGTTTTCTGTAGACGGTAGTATCTAAACCACCATCTATCCTTCGTTTTATTCTGCAATCCAACATAGGTAATTCTCCTTGTTCATTTTCTACTTCGTAGGTGAATTGGATTGCGTTAACTACTGAGTTTATGTGTGTCAAGAAACTGTCGATATGTTCCGATTTCAACACTGTAAATGTGTCATCTACATATCGCCACCATATCTTAGGTGTCGGATTATATGTTCGTAAAGCCATATCTTCCCAACTATCCATAAATATATCTGCTACTATAGGGGATATTGGTGATCCCATTGCTACTCCTTCTGTTTGTCTGTATATCTTTCCCTGAAACTTGAAAACTGTCGAGGTTAAGCATAACTGCACTCCTAACATGATTTCACCAACCGATGCCTTGGTTCTTTGAGTAAGTTGTGAGTCAGTATCTAGTTGATTTCTGACTGCCTCCAGTGCCATATTGATTGGTATTTTAGTATAAAGACTTGTTACGTCAAAACTAACCATTTTTTCATCCTCTTCTATGTGCAGGTCATTAAGTTTTTGTTTCAACTCGTAAGAATTTACTAGTCTAGAGTTGGAACGGTCTCTAACAGGACGTAATACTGATGCTAAATACTTTGATATCTCATATGTTGGTGTGTTTCGGAAGTCAACTATCGGCCTAATGGGATAACCTGCTTTATGAACCTTAATAGTACCGTAAATTCTGCTAGGATTATTAGTTTTTGGCATTAAAGTAAACCATTCGGACTTACCTAGAGATGGCTTCAGTCGGCGTATCAGATCTGTTGTAGATTTCCTAATTTTATTCATGACAGTATCTATAGGTTTCTTAATCTCTTCATATGGCCCTGTTTGGATATGTTCATCCATTTTTTTAAGATAATCCGATTTGTCCATAACTACTGTTGAGTTACCTTTGTCAGATTTAGCAATTACTATACTATTATCCTTTCGTAGATTGTTTAAAGCTGAATTTTCCAGTTTCGTTAGGTTTCGCTGTGTCTTCTTTTGTTTTTTAAGTGCTAATGCACACTGCGCTCTAACCTGTTCAGCAGTTGTCACATCCACCGAGCTCAATGCTACTTCTATGCTAGGTATGACATCTTCTGGTTTTAGATGATCTACTGTTATGTTGAAGTTTAGTCCTTTTTCAAGTACTTTCATCTCAGCTGAGCTTAAGGCTTTCGAGGAGAGATTGACTACCCACTTTGTTCTATCGATGTTCGATGATGTTTCCTTTGTAATTTCATTGTTTTCCGAAGCATATTTTTCTTGCATTAGTTTATTGAACTTTTTGATTTGATTTCTTCTAGATTTCTTGAGAGTAGCTAATCTTGCTTTGTCTGATGTTTCTATTATAAATCCATAGTCTCTGCAGTTTACTATCTTCATAATTTTACATTTAAGCTGTTCAATTTTATTCCGAATGGTACTTAATTTCTTAATAATCCTGTGAATTTCTTCTTTCAGACATAGTTTGCTGACATGTTCTATTGCCCTTTGGATTTTGTCAGTATATATTGGGATTCGTATGCGAAGGTATTTAGGGATAATTTGATTTTTCATGCAACGAATATTGAAAATACGATGATTTGTGAAACGTGCTTCAGTTTGTGAAAGTCGTGTGAGTTTATTGATTAGCCTTCGAACAGGAAGACCATAAGTTTCATTAATATAAGTGAAAAACTTGGGCACTGTGGTAGAATGTAGTTCCATATTAGATTTGTTTATTTGATATAAAGCGCACAGTGATACAGTATTATTTACTTGATTACGTTTCGAGCATAAATTATTGCTCATAATCATATCAATGTAATCACACTTCTTTCGACATCTGATTTTATAGTCCTGTCACCTGATCTCTCTTTGTTTTTTTGTTTTTTGATTGGTAGTAAAGTTTTCCATATCTCTGGTATAGGTGTTGCGTCATTCCTATTACATGTGTTGGGTGTGGATTCGATGAACAAAGATTCAGTAATTAATCTCTCTCTCCACCTAGCTATATTAGACTTAAGTACAGTGGTTTTGTCCCATCCTATTGTGTGGTTGTGTGTTAACGAATGTAATGCAATGGCTGAGTGTTTTTCTAGGTTATTGATCTTATTGGGGTCTGCCGTTCTATGTTTAGCTAAATTCCTATGTTCTGTTAATCTAACTGACCCCGACCGGCTAGTTTGACCTATGTATTTGACTTCACAGTCATTACATGGAATTTGGTAGATTATATTATTTTGCTTAATTGGTTCTATCGGATCTTTTAGCCGACACAGCTTACCTCTAAGTGAGTTTGTTGGTTTAAATGCCACCCTAATTCCAACCTTGTTGAGAATCCTACGTATGGTTTCTGATGTTCCTTCCTTGTATGGTATCACAATAGAGGTGCTGATTTCCTTTCTACTTATGTTGTCACTATTATTTGTATTTGTATTAGTGTTATTATTTTGCTTCTTATGCGTCCGTGTGAATTTCTTAATAAAATGATGGGGATAATTATTAGTTATTAACGCTTCTTTTATGTGTTTCAATTCCTTATTTAAGTCCTTACAATGACTAGTGAGTTTCTCAGCTCTGTTATTTAGACATTTGACTAAACCCGCTTTAACTGACACTGGATGAGATGACTTGAAGTCTAGATACCTGTTAGAATGTGTTGGTTTTCTGTAGACGGTAGTATCTAAACCACCATCTATCCTTCGTTTTATTCTGCAATCCAACATAGGTAATTCTCCTTGTTCATTTTCTACTTCGTAGGTGAATTGGATTGCGTTAACTACTGAGTTTATGTGTGTCAAGAAACTGTCGATATGTTCCGATTTCAACACTGTAAATGTGTCATCTACATATCGCCACCATATCTTAGGTGTCGGATTATATGTTCGTAAAGCCATATCTTCCCAACTATCCATAAATATATCTGCTACTATAGGGGATATTGGTGATCCCATTGCTACTCCTTCTGTTTGTCTGTATATCTTTCCCTGAAACTTGAAGACTGTCGAGGTTAAGCATAACTGCACTCCTAACATGATTTCACCAACCGATGCCTTGGTTCTTTGAGTAAGTTGTGAGTCAGTATCTAGTTGATTTCTGACTGCCTCCAGTGCCATATTGATTGGTATTTTAGTATAAAGACTTGTTACGTCAAAACTAACCATTTTTTCATCCTCTTCTATGTGCAGGTCATTAAGTTTTTGTTTCAACTCGTAAGAATTTACTAGTCTAGAGTTGGAACGGTCTCTAACAGGACGTAATACTGATGCTAAATACTTTGATATCTCATATGTTGGTGTGTTTCGGAAGTCAACTATCGGCCTAATGGGATAACCTGCTTTATGAACCTTAATAGTACCGTAAATTCTGCTAGGATTATTAGTTTTTGGCATTAAAGTAAACCATTCGGACTTACCTAGAGATGGCTTCAGTCGGCGTATCAGATCTGTTGTAGATTTCTTAATTTTATTCATGACAGTATCTATAGGTTTCTTAATCTCTTCATATGGCCCTGTTTGGATATGTTCATCCATTTTTTTAAGATAATCCGATTTGTCCATAACTACTGTTGAGTTACCTTTGTCAGATTTAGCAATTACTATACTATTATCCTTTCGTAGATTGTTTAAAGCTGAATTTTCCAGTTTCGTTAAGTTTCGCTGTGTCTTCTTTTGTTTTTTAAGTGCTAATGCACACTGCGCTCTAACCTGTTCAGCAGTTGTCACATCCACCGAGCTTAATGCTACTTCTATGCTAGGTATGACATCTTCTGGTTTTAGATGATCTACTGTTATGTTGAAGTTTAGTCCTTTTTCAAGTACTTTCATCTCAGCTGAGCTTAAGGCTTTCGAGGAGAGATTGACTACCCACTTTGTTCTATCGATGTTCGATGATGTTTCCTTTGTAATTTCATTGTTTTCCGAAGCATATTTTTCTTGCATTAGTTTATTGAACTTTTTGATTTGATTTCTTCTAGATTTCTTGAGAGTAGCTAATCTTGCTTTGTCTGATGTTTCTATTATAAATCCATAGTCTCTGCAGTTTACTATCTTCATAATTTTACATTTAAGTTGTTCAATTTTATTCCGAATGGTACTTAATTTCTTAATAATCCTGTGAATTTCTTCTTTCAGACATAGTTTGCTGACATGTTCTATTGCCCTTTGGATTTTGTCAGTATATATTGGGATTCGTATGCGAAGGTATTTAGGGATAATTTGATTTTTCATGCAACGAATATTGAAAATACGATGATTTGTGAAACGTGCTTCAGTTTGTGAAAGTCGTGTGAGTTTATTGATTAGCCTTCGAACAGGAAGACCATAAGTTTCATTAATATAAGTGAAAAACTTGGGCACTGTGGTAGAATGTAGTTCCATATTAGATTTGTTTATTTGATATAAAGCGCACAGTGATACAGTATTATTTACTTGATTACGTTTCGAGCATAAATTATTGCTCATAATCATATCAATGTAATCACACTTCTTTCGACATCTGATTTTATAGTCCTGTCACCTGATCTCTCTTTGTTTTTTTGTTTTTTGATTGGTAGTAAAGTTTTCCATATCTCTGGTATAGGTGTTGCGTCATTCCTATTACATGTGTTGGGTGTGAATTCGATGAACAAAGATTCAGTAATTAATCTCTCTCTCCACCTAGCTATATTAGACTTAAGTACAGTGGTTTTGTCCCATCCTATTGTGTGGTTGTGTGTTAATGAATGTAATGCAATGGCTGAGTGTTTTTCTAGGTTATTGATCTTATTGGGGTCTGTCGTTCTATGTTTAGCTAAATTCCTATGTTCTGTTAATCTAACTGACCCCGACCGGCTAGTTTGACCTATGTATTTGACTTCACAGTCATTACATGGAATTTGGTAGATTATATTATTTTGCTTAATTGGTTCTATCGGATCTTTTAGCCGACACAGCTTACCTCTAAGTGAGTTTGTTGGTTTAAATGCCACCCTAATTCCAACCTTGTTGAGAATCCTACGTATGGTTTCTGATGTTCCTTCCTTGTATGGTATCACAATAGAGGTGCTGATTTCCTTTCTACTTATGTTGTCACTATTATTTGTATTTGTATTAGTGTTATTATTTTGCTTCTTATGCGTCCGTGTGAATTTCTTAATAAAATGATGGGGATAATTATTAGTTATTAACGCTTCTTTTATGTGTTTCAATTCCTTATTTAAGTCCTTACAATGACTAGTGAGTTTCTCAGCTCTGTTATTTAGACATTTGACTAAACCCGCTTTAACTGACACTGGATGAGATGACTTGAAGTCTAGATACCTGTTAGAATGTGTTGGTTTTCTGTAGACGGTAGTATCTAAGCCACCATCTATCCTTCGTTTTATTCTGCAATCCAACATAGGTAATTCTCCTTGTTCATTTTCTACTTCGTAGGTGAATTGGATTGCGTTAACTACTGAGTTTATGTGTGTCAAGAAACTGTCGATATGTTCCGATTTCAACACTGTAAATGTGTCATCTACATATCGCCACCATATCTTAGGTGTCGGATTATATGTTCGTAAAGCCATATCTTCCCAACTATCCATAAATATATCTGCTACTATAGGGGATATTGGTGATCCCATTGCTACTCCTTCTGTTTGTCTGTATATCTTTCCCTGAAACTTGAAGACTGTCGAGGTTAAGCATAACTGCACTCCTAACATGATTTCACCAACCGATGCCTTGGTTCTTTGAGTAAGTTGTGAGTCAGTATCTAGTTGATTTCTGACTGCCTCCAGTGCCATATTGATTGGTATTTTAGTATAAAGACTTGTTACGTCAAAACTAACCATTTTTTCATCCTCTTCTATGTGCAGGTCATTAAGTTTTTGTTTCAACTCGTAAGAATTTACTAGTCTAGAGTTGGAACGGTCTCTAACAGGACGTAATACTGATGCTAAATACTTTGATATCTCATATGTTGGTGTGTTTCGGAAGTCAACTATCGGCCTAATGGGATAACCTGCTTTATGAACCTTAATAGTACCGTAAATTCTGCTAGGATTATTAGTTTTTGGCATTAAAGTAAACCATTCGGACTTACCTAGAGATGGCTTCAGTCGGCGTATCAGATCTGTTGTAGATTTCTTAATTTTATTCATGACAGTATCTATAGGTTTCTTAATCTCTTCATATGGCCCTGTTTGGATATGTTCATCCATTTTTTTAAGATAATCCGATTTGTCCATAACTACTGTTGAGTTACCTTTGTCAGATTTAGCAATTACTATACTATTATCCTTTCGTAGATTGTTTAAAGCTGAATTTTCCAGTTTCGTTAAGTTTCGCTGTGTCTTCTTTTGTTTTTTAAGTGCTAATGCACACTGCGCTCTAACCTGTTCAGCAGTTGTCACATCCACCGAGCTTAATGCTACTTCTATGCTAGGTATGACATCTTCTGGTTTTAGATGATCTACTGTTATGTTGAAGTTTAGTCCTTTTTCAAGTACTTTCATCTCAGCTGAGCTTAAGGCTTTCGAGGAGAGATTGACTACCCACTTTGTTCTATCGATGTTCGATGATGTTTCCTTTGTAATTTCATTGTTTTCCGAAGCATATTTTTCTTGCATTAGTTTACTGAACTTTTTGATTTGATTTCTTCTAGATTTCTTGAGAGTAGCTAATCTTGCTTTGTCTGATGTTTCTATTATAAATCCATAGTCTCTGCAGTTTACTATCTTCATAATTTTACATTTAAGTTGTTCAATTTTATTCCGAATGGTACTTAATTTCTTAATAATCCTGTGAATTTCTTCTTTCAGACATAGTTTGCTGACATGTTCTATTGCCCTTTGGATTTTGTCAGTATATATTGGGATTCGTATGCGAAGGTATTTAGGGATAATTTGATTTTTCATGCAACGAATATTGAAAATACGATGATTTGTGAAACGTGCTTCAGTTTGTGAAAGTCGTGTGAGTTTATTGATTAGCCTTCGAACAGGAAGACCATAAGTTTCATTAATATAAGTGAAAAACTTGGGCACTGTGGTAGAATGTAGTTCCATATTAGATTTGTTTATTTGATATAAAGCGCACAGTGATACAGTATTATTTACTTGATTACGTTTCGAGCATAAATTATTGCTCATAATCATATCAATGTAATCACACTTCTTTCGACATCTGATTTTATAGTCCTGTCACCTGATCTCTCTTTGTTTTTTTGTTTTTTGATTGGTAGTAAAGTTTTCCATATCTCTGGTATAGGTGTTGCGTCATTCCTATTACATGTGTTGGGTGTGAATTCGATGAACAAAGATTCAGTAATTAATCTCTCTCTCCACCTAGCTATATTAGACTTAAGTACAGTGGTTTTGTCCCATCCTATTGTGTGGTTGTGTGTTAATGAATGTAATGCAATGGCTGAGTGTTTTTCTAGGTTATTGATCTTATTGGGGTCTGTCGTTCTATGTTTAGCTAAATTCCTATGTTCTGTTAATCTAACTGACCCCGACCGGCTAGTTTGACCTATGTATTTGACTTCACAGTCATTACATGGAATTTGGTAGATTATATTATTTTGCTTAATTGGTTCTATCGGATCTTTTAGCCGACAAAGCTTACCTCTAAGTGAGTTTGTTGGTTTAAATGCCACCCTAATTCCAACCTTGTTGAGAATCCTACGTATGGTTTCTGATGTTCCTTCCTTGTATGGTATCACAATAGAGGTGCTGATTTCCTTTCTACTTATGTTGTCACTATTATTTGTATTTGTATTAGTGTTATTATTTTGCTTCTTATGCGTCCGTGTGAATTTCTTAATAAAATGATGGGGATAATTATTAGTTATTAACGCTTCTTTTATGTGTTTCAATTCCTTATTTAAGTCCTTACAATGACTAGTGAGTTTCTCAGCTCTGTTATTTAGACATTTGACTAAACCCGCTTTAACTGACACTGGATGAGATGACTTGAAGTCTAGATACCTGTTAGAATGTGTTGGTTTTCTGTAGACGGTAGTATCTAAACCACCATCTATCCTTCGTTTTATTCTGCAATCCAACATAGGTAATTCTCCTTGTTCATTTTCTACTTCGTAGGTGAATTGGATTGCGTTAACTACTGAGTTTATGTGTGTCAAGAAACTGTCGATATGTTCCGATTTCAACACTGTAAATGTGTCATCTACATATCGCCACCATATCTTAGGTGTCGGATTATATGTTCGTAAAGCCATATCTTCCCAACTATCCATAAATATATCTGCTACTATAGGGGATATTGGTGATCCCATTGCTACTCCTTCTGTTTGTCTGTATATCTTTCCCTGAAACTTGAAGACTGTCGAGGTTAAGCATAACTGCACTCCTAACATGATTTCACCAACCGATGCCTTGGTTCTTTGAGTAAGTTGTGAGTCAGTATCTAGTTGATTTCTGACTGCCTCCAGTGCCATATTGATTGGTATTTTAGTATAAAGACTTGTTACGTCAAAACTAACCATTTTTTCATCCTCTTCTATGTGCAGGTCATTAAGTTTTTGTTTCAACTCGTAAGAATTTACTAGTCTAGAGTTGGAACGGTCTCTAACAGGACGTAATACTGATGCTAAATACTTTGATATCTCATATGTTGGTGTGTTTCGGAAGTCAACTATCGGCCTAATGGGATAACCTGCTTTATGAACCTTAATAGTACCGTAAATTCTGCTAGGATTATTAGTTTTTGGCATTAAAGTAAACCATTCGGACTTACCTAGAGATGGCTTCAGTCGGCGTATCAGATCTGTTGTAGATTTCTTAATTTTATTCATGACAGTATCTATAGGTTTCTTAATCTCTTCATATGGCCCTGTTTGGATATGTTCATCCATTTTTTTAAGATAATCCGATTTGTCCATAACTACTGTTGAGTTACCTTTGTCAGATTTAGCAATTACTATACTATTATCCTTTCGTAGATTGTTTAAAGCTGAATTTTCCAGTTTCGTTAAGTTTCGCTGTGTCTTCTTTTGTTTTTTAAGTGCTAATGCACACTGCGCTCTAACCTGTTCAGCAGTTGTCACATCCACCGAGCTTAATGCTACTTCTATGCTAGGTATGACATCTTCTGGTTTTAGATGATCTACTGTTATGTTGAAGTTTAGTCCTTTTTCAAGTACTTTCATCTCAGCTGAGCTTAAGGCTTTCGAGGAGAGATTGACTACCCACTTTGTTCTATCGATGTTCGATGATGTTTCCTTTGTAATTTCATTGTTTTCCGAAGCATATTTTTCTTGCATTAGTTTATTGAACTTTTTGATTTGATTTCTTCTAGATTTCTTGAGAGTAGCTAATCTTGCTTTGTCTGATGTTTCTATTATAAATCCATAGTCTCTGCAGTTTACTATCTTCATAATTTTACATTTAAGTTGTTCAATTTTATTCCGAATGGTACTTAATTTCTTAATAATCCTGTGAATTTCTTCTTTCAGACATAGTTTGCTGACATGTTCTATTGCCCTTTGGATTTTGTCAGTATATATTGGGATTCGTATGCGAAGGTATTTAGGGATAATTTGATTTTTCATGCAACGAATATTGAAAATACGATGATTTGTGAAACGTGCTTCAGTTTGTGAAAGTCGTGTGAGTTTATTGATTAGCCTTCGAACAGGAAGACCATAAGTTTCATTAATATAAGTGAAAAACTTGGGCACTGTGGTAGAATGTAGTTCCATATTAGATTTGTTTATTTGATATAAAGCGCACAGTGATACAGTATTATTTACTTCATTACCATTAAGCTTCATAAAGCAGGTTATCCCATTAGGCCGATAGTTGACTTCCGAAACACACCAACATATGAGATATCAAAGTATTTAGCATCAGTATTACGTCCTGTTAGAGACCGTTCCAACTCTAGACTAGTAAATTCTTACGAGTTGAAACAAAAACTTAATGACCTGCACATAGAAGAGGATGAAAAAATGGTTAGTTTTGACGTAACAAGTCTTTATACTAAAATACCAATCAATATGGCACTGGAGGCAGTCAGAAATCAACTAGATACTGACTCACAACTTACTCAAAGAACCAAGGCATCGGTTGGTGAAATCATGTTAGGAGTGCAGTTATGCTTAACCTCGACAGTCTTCAAGTTTCAGGGAAAGATATACAGACAAACAGAAGGAGTAGCAATGGGATCACCAATATCCCCTATAGTAGCAGATATATTTATGGATAGTTGGGAAGATATGGCTTTACGAACATATAATCCGACACCTAAGATATGGTGGCGATATGTAGATGACACATTTACAGTGTTGAAATCGGAACATATCGACAGTTTCTTGACACACATAAACTCAGTAGTTAACGCAATCCAATTCACCTACGAAGTAGAAAATGAACAAGGAGAATTACCTATGTTGGATTGCAGAATAAAACGAAGGATAGATGGTGGTTTAGATACTACCGTCTACAGAAAACCAACACATTCTAACAGGTATCTAGACTTCAAGTCATCTCATCCAGTGTCAGTTAAAGCGGGTTTAGTCAAATGTCTAAATAACAGAGCTGAGAAACTCACTAGTCATTGTAAGGACTTAAATAAGGAATTGAAACACATAAAAGAAGCGTTAATAACTAATAATTATCCCCATCATTTTATTAAGAAATTCACACGGACGCATAAGAAGCAAAATAATAACACTAATACAAATACAAATAATAGTGACAACATAAGTAGAAAGGAAATCAGCACCTCTATTGTGATACCATACAAGGAAGGAACATCAGAAACCATACGTAGGATTCTCAACAAGGTTGGAATTAGGGTGGCATTTAAACCAACAAACTCACTTAGAGGTAAGCTGTGTCGGCTAAAAGATCCGATAGAACCAATTAAGCAAAATAATATAATCTACCAAATTCCATGTAATGACTGTGAAGTCAAATACATAGGTCAAACTAGCCGGTCGGGGTCAGTTAGATTAACAGAACATAGGAATTTAGCTAAACATAGAACGACAGACCCCAATAAGATCAATAACCTAGAAAAACACTCAGCCATTGCATTACATTCATTAACACACAACCACACAATAGGATGGGACAAAACCACTGTACTTAAGTCTAATATAGCTAGGTGGAGAGAGAGATTAATTACTGAATCTTTGTTCATCGAATCCACACCCAACACATGTAATAGGAATGACGCAACACCTATACCAGAGATATGGAAAACTTTACTACCAATCAAAAAACAAAAAAACAAAGAGAGATCAGGTGACAGGACTATAAAATCAGATGTCGAAAGAAGTGTGATTACATTGATATGATTATGAGCAATAATTTATGCTCGAAACGTAATCAAGTAAATAATACTGTATCACTGTGCGCTTTATATCAAATAAACAAATCTAATATGGAACTACATTCTACCACAGTGCCCAAGTTTTTCACTTATATTAATGAAACTTATGGTCTTCCTGTTCGAAGGCTAATCAATAAACTCACACGACTTTCACAAACTGAAGCACGTTTCACAAATCATCGTATTTTCAATATTCGTTGCATGAAAAATCAAATTATCCCTAAATACCTTCGCATACGAATCCCAATATATACTGACAAAATCCAAAGGGCAATAGAACATGTCAGCAAACTATGTCTGAAAGAAGAAATTCACAGGATTATTAAGAAATTAAGTACCATTCGGAATAAAATTGAACAACTTAAATGTAAAATTATGAAGATAGTAAACTGCAGAGACTATGGATTTATAATAGAAACATCAGACAAAGCAAGATTAGCTACTCTCAAGAAATCTAGAAGAAATCAAATCAAAAAGTTCAATAAACTAATGCAAGAAAAATATGCTTCGGAAAACAATGAAATTACAAAGGAAACATCATCGAACATCGATAGAACAAAGTGGGTAGTCAATCTCTCCTCGAAAGCCTTAAGCTCAGCTGAGATGAAAGTACTTGAAAAAGGACTAAACTTCAACATAACAGTAGATCATCTAAAACCAGAAGATGTCATACCTAGCATAGAAGTAGCATTAAGCTCGGTGGATGTGACAACTGCTGAACAGGTTAGAGCGCAGTGTGCATTAGCACTTAAAAAACAAAAGAAGACACAGCGAAACTTAACGAAACTGGAAAATTCAGCTTTAAACAATCTACGAAAGGATAATAGTATAGTAATTGCTAAATCTGACAAAGGTAACTCAACAGTAGTTATGGACAAATCGGATTATCTTAAAAAAATGGATGAACATATCCAAACAGGGCCATATGAAGAGATTAAGAAACCTATAGATACTGTCATGAATAAAATTAAGAAATCTACAACAGATCTGATACGCCGACTGAAGCCATCTCTAGGTAAGTCCGAATGGTTTACTTTAATGCCAAAAACTAATAATCCTAGCAGAATTTACGGTACTATTAAGGTTCATAAAGCAGGTTATCCCATTAGGCCGATAGTTGACTTCCGAAACACACCAACATATGAGATATCAAAGTATTTAGCATCAGTATTACGTCCTGTTAGAGACCGTTCCAACTCTAGACTAGTAAATTCTTACGAGTTGAAACAAAAACTTAATGACCTGCACATAGAAGAGGATGAAAAAATGGTTAGTTTTGACGTAACAAGTCTTTATACTAAAATACCAATCAATATGGCACTGGAGGCAGTCAGAAATCAACTAGATACTGACTCACAACTTACTCAAAGAACCAAGGCATCGGTTGGTGAAATCATGTTAGGAGTGCAGTTATGCTTAACCTCGACAGTCTTCAAGTTTCAGGGAAAGATATACAGACAAACAGAAGGAGTAGCAATGGGATCACCAATATCCCCTATAGTAGCAGATATATTTATGGATAGTTGGGAAGATATGGCTTTACGAACATATAATCCGACACCTAAGATATGGTGGCGATATGTAGATGACACATTTACAGTGTTGAAATCGGAACATATCGACAGTTTCTTGACACACATAAACTCAGTAGTTAACGCAATCCAATTCACCTACGAAGTAGAAAATGAACAAGGAGAATTACCTATGTTGGATTGCAGAATAAAACGAAGGATAGATGGTGGTTTAGATACTACCGTCTACAGAAAACCAACACATTCTAACAGGTATCTAGACTTCAAGTCATCTCATCCAGTGTCAGTTAAAGCGGGTTTAGTCAAATGTCTAAATAACAGAGCTGAGAAACTCACTAGTCATTGTAAGGACTTAAATAAGGAATTGAAACACATAAAAGAAGCGTTAATAACTAATAATTATCCCCATCATTTTATTAAGAAATTCACACGGACGCATAAGAAGCAAAATAATAACACTAATACAAATACAAATAATAGTGACAACATAAGTAGAAAGGAAATCAGCACCTCTATTGTGATACCATACAAGGAAGGAACATCAGAAACCATACGTAGGATTCTCAACAAGGTTGGAATTAGGGTGGCATTTAAACCAACAAACTCACTTAGAGGTAAGCTTTGTCGGCTAAAAGATCCGATAGAACCAATTAAGCAAAATAATATAATCTACCAAATTCCATGTAATGACTGTGAAGTCAAATACATAGGTCAAACTAGCCGGTCGGGGTCAGTTAGATTAACAGAACATAGGAATTTAGCTAAACATAGAACGACAGACCCCAATAAGATCAATAACCTAGAAAAACACTCAGCCATTGCATTACATTCATTAACACACAACCACACAATAGGATGGGACAAAACCACTGTACTTAAGTCTAATATAGCTAGGTGGAGAGAGAGATTAATTACTGAATCTTTGTTCATCGAATCCACACCCAACACATGTAATAGGAATGACGCAACACCTATACCAGAGATATGGAAAACTTTACTACCAATCAAAAAACAAAAAAACAAAGAGAGATCAGGTGACAGGACTATAAAATCAGATGTCGAAAGAAGTGTGATTACATTGATATGATTATGAGCAATAATTTATGCTCGAAACGTAATCAAGTAAATAATACTGTATCACTGTGCGCTTTATATCAAATAAACAAATCTAATATGGAACTACATTCTACCACAGTGCCCAAGTTTTTCACTTATATTAGTGTTAGCTGTAGCGTAGTTAATTCTAGCGCTATGAGTATCGGTTGCAGTAGTAGTGGTAATCGGATGGAGTGTCAGTGGCAATAGTTTACCTGGAATGACTACTTTTTAGATTATTAGTATTATGAGTAGAAGCGTAATTACCAGTGTGAGTATTAGCGTGAGTAGCATTACTACCAGTTTTAATAGTAGTATTTTTAGTCCTAGATTGAGTTTCATGTGTGGCAGTGAGAACTGACTGGTAAAGGTGGTAATATTAGTGTTGAGAATAGCTGTATCGTGGTGACTTCAATTTTTAGCAGTAGAAGTGTTAGCTGTAACAGTCATAGTACTAATAGCAACAGTAGTAGTAGTAGTAGTAGTAGTAGTAGTAGTAGTAGTAGTAGTAGTAGTAGTAGTAGTAGTAGTAGTAGTAGTAGTAGTAGTAGTAGTAGTAGTAGTAGTAGTAGTAGTAGTAGTAGTAGTAGTAGTAGTAGTAGTAGTAGTAGTAGTAGTAGTAGTAGTAGTAGTAGTAGTAGTAGTAGTAGTAGTAGTAGTAGTAGTAGTAGTAGTAGTAGTAGTAGTAGTAGTAGTAGTAGTAGTAGTAGTAGTAGTAGTAGTAGTAGTAGTAGTAGTAGTAGTAGTAGTAGTAGTAGTAGTAGTAGTAGTAGTAGTAGTAGTAGTAGTAGTAGTAGTAGTAGTAGTAGTAGTAGTAGTAGTAGTAGTAGTAGTAGTAGTAGTAGTAGTAGTAGTAGTAGTAGTAGTAGTAGTAGTAGTAGTAGTAGTAGTAGTAGTAGTAGTAGTAGTAGTAGTAGTAGTAGTAGTAGTAGTAGTAGTAGTAGTAGTAGTAGTAGTAGTAGTAGTAGTAGTAGTAGTAGTAGTAGTAGTAGTAGTAGTAGTAGTAGTAGTAGTAGTAGTAGTAGTAGTAGTAGTAGTAGTAGTAGTAGTAGTAGTAGTAGTAGTAGTAGTAGTAGTAGTAGTAGTAGTAGTAGTAGTAGTAGTAGTAGTAGTAGTAGTAGTAGTAGTAGTAGTAGTAGTAGTAGTAGTAGTAGTAGTAGTAGTAGTAGTAGTAGTAGTAGTAGTAGTAGTAGTAGTAGTAGTAGTAGTAGTAGTAGTAGTAGTAGTAGTAGTAGTAGTAGTAGTAGTAGTAGTAGTAGTAGTAGTAGTAGTAGTAGTAGTAGTAGTAGTAGTAGTAGTAGTAGTAGTAGTAGTAGTAGTAGTAGTAGTAGTAGTAGTAGTAGTAGTAGTAGTAGTAGTAGTAGTAGTAGTAGTAGTAGTAGTAGTAGTAGTAGTAGTAGTAGTAGTAGTAGTAGTAGTAGTAGTAGTAGTAGTAGTAGTAGCAGTAGTAGTAGTAGTAGTAGTAGTAGTAGTAGTAGTAGTAGTAGTAGTAGTAGTAGTAGTAGTAGTAGTAGTAGTAGTAGTAGTAGTAGTAGTAGTAGTAGTAGTAGTAGTAGTAGTAGTAGTATAACATAAAGACTCTCTGATACTACAGTTGGGTTATCATTGTTTTTATTATTATTATTTGTCCCTTAGATTCCAACCGGAACATAGGACTCGACTAGCACGTTTGGATTGCGCTCTGTTCTTTCCAGTATTTTCAACCTGGCTCCATGACTCCCCACAAGATTTCATTTCTTCCTCAAACTACCTCCTCCATGTCACCCTCAGTTGGGTCAGCCAACTTGTCGTTTCCCACACGGGTTCTACTCGATGGCGTGACCTGGCCTTGCCTGGCACCTGATGTCCTCGAATGGTTTCCTCAGTGTATGCCCAATCCACTCCATCTCCACCTTCTATATATTTGTCGTGCCATAGGTTCCTGGTTGGTTCGTTACCAGCCAGCTGGCCAGCCACATTTCCTCCTTGCTAATTATTTCTGGTCGGCTGATCTGATCTTCAGTATCGAGTGAGCGTAGGTGGCAGCTGTTCATCAATGTCTGTAGTTTGTTGTGAATGCTGTTCGTGACGCGTCACCTTTCTCAACCATCACATAGAAGCACTGACTTAACTGACGTTAGTCTTGAAAATCCGGATGTTGTTCACACTTTCTGTTGAGTGCAGTAGATCTCCACACCGATTTCAGATTGATGAAGGAGGGATTGTCTTGCTGTCTTTCAGATCCCAACTGCGTTGATATCCTCATCTGTGCCTGTGCCACCACTCGTAGTTGCAACGATGCTGCCTAGACAGGTAGGTGGGTGAAAAAGACAACTTCCTTCAGATTTCTCCCGTTCATGGTGATTGGTGCTTGCTGTTGATACTGTTGTTGGTTGGGTATCTTCACCATCTCTGTCTTCTCCACGTTCACCTGAAGGCAGTACCATCTTCGCTGCCTCACCTCTTCTGTCTACTTCTTGGTTTTCGCCTGTAGATCTTAGATTTTGTGCTACATTAGACACAAGTCATCGTCGGCAAAATTCACAGCCAACAGTCATCCATAGTTGGGCGGCTGTTGAAAAACTACTCCCCTGTTAAAAATGTCACCGTCAACTGCACAATTTGCAACTCCAATTTAGAGATTTTTGGGGACTTATTGATTGATTACAAGTTGGCATTCATCAAGGACTGATATTAGTTGGAGGATGATTGGAAACAAACCTGGAAGCACTAGACATCTGATTCGTACCACATATATCTGACTTTTCAGCAGTGAACATCCTTGACCCCGTCTTCCCACCAGGGACAGAACGAATAACCTTCAGATTCCGTAGCCAGCACGTTGGCATCCATTGGTCTATATTTCCAAATTCTATCAGTTCACGAGACAGCGCGACTATCACTCAATGTCGTCATTGAGTATTTATCATCACATCCACCAGGTTTGCTCCACTGATCTCCAACTCATGCCAGTCCATGATAAATATCAACCTGATATTTGCAAATCATTTGCAAACTGATCATTCCAATTTAGCTAGCATATCAGCTAGCCAGTCAGATTCAGGTAATCTAAGCCTATTTAGGTTTATGAACTAAATTTTTCCAGGTACACTGCAGATTACCTTGGCCCTAAATTAGCGGAATGGCTTACTGCTCGTTAGGTCACTCTGATCTGGCTGGCGAAATACTAAAGATGAGCCAGATTGGTTTCTGACTACTCAATTTAGTCAACAGTAGTATCTCGTTTGATTTAGAAGAGAGAAGCATTTCGGAAATCTGATTTGCCGATGTTTTCTATGGACTTGCTCCTGATTAAAACATAAATACTGATGATTAAAGTTGAATTTGCTCTGGACAATTTCCTATTCATCTATCACCCAGTATAGCGTTTGTTATCTCAGATAGTAGTCAAAATGATTCCCCCCCCCCTCTCTAATTCAGTTAGCTTTGGATTTGGATAAAAATTTCTGACTGTAGGTAGCCAATGTGAATACGATCACGAATTCACACGGTAGTCGGGTAAAACCCCATTTGTGATGGAATTGAAACTAGGATCTCGTCAGAAGTTGGGCCTCGTAGCTCAGTTGGTAGAGTATCTGACTCGAAACTCAGCGATCGTTGGTCTAATCCAATCGTGTCACTATCCAGATTTTCATTTCACCCTCCACAACTAACTAGGTAGTATCAAAACAAGTTTCATTTCCGGAAGTTGGAAATATGGAGCATTGGATTCTGACCCAGTGGCTCAATGGCAATCTGCTGGCCGCGGAACCTGAAGGTCGCGGGTCCGATCCCTGACACGGTCGTGGGTGCGTACTGCTGAGGAGTCGCATACTAGGACGAAACAGCTGTTGAGTGCTTCCAAGTTTCCTTTGCTCCTCCGGCTGATGTCAGTCTACGATGAATAACAACCTGAAATATTTTCAAATCTCCAGAACTCCCTCAAAAAATGTCTCATTTTCATTGGTTTCAGGTTAACTGATTCCAGTATGCTCTTTTCAACACTACATTATCGACTCCTCACAGTATCCCCTCTAACTTGAAACTCTTTGGAAACCTGACAACTTCTTCTTTCACATCCTTATTCGAGCACCATACTAGATTGCCTCAGTGATCTACGCTTTTACTAATTCCATCTTATTTCGGACCGAAAGTCAAATGGAATGGTAATAAAATTCCCTCGATTTCAGATAGTCCTTGGATATAGTATGGAATTGTCAGCATGTAATATTTCAAAACAACCAACCCCTCTCCAGCCAATACTCATTTCGGGGCACAATTTGGAGACTAAGCATACTTCGGCAGCATATACGAAGTTTTTGAGCAGTACCCTGAATTCCCAAATTATTTCCGGTATGCAAACACACTCTTCAACAATGAATGAACGTTATCCTGCATAATAGTGTAAAATATGACTCCATGAAACTTGATACATTGAGTATTCCTCAAACTAAAGGTAGTGGCAAAAATGCGGTCAATAGGGAAATTGTTTTCAGATCATGATTTATGCATGCATTGACATGATAACCTGATTGGATAATTTCAATGTCATACGACCAATCGTATTGGCTTATTTATGGCTTCATTTTCTGAGGGTTTTGTAAATATATATGCATAATACCATGTATTTGTCTAATACTGTTGTTGTTGTTGTTGTTTCTGAAAGTCGCAGACCAGTGTTTTGTCTTCTGATTTCGTGGCTCAGTGAAGCAGAGTGAACTGAGGAAGATCAGTCGTAACGGTATTCGATGGAGGTGTCTATTGAATCTCAATATCATTATACCCACGCCCATAATTCCACTCGATGACAACACAGTGAACTTCAAGCACACTTACGCGACTTCAAAAACTTTAAAACTTACTCTGGACACTTTCGGTAGTACCAGAAAGTTGCAAGTAACCTTGACAATGTTTCGCAGATACCATTTAGTAACAGTTTTCATGGGCCTGAATTCCATTTACACATGCACATACCGGTTTATATGTATTTCTGTACTTCGAGTATGATTACATAGTATGAATTGCACAGGTGTGATTATTTGTAGCAACTATCTGTTATTAGATTACTGACTACTATGTAGGCACTTTGCTGTAAGTGACGTACATAGAGATGAATGGAAGTGAAAGCTTAAGGTTGTTGATGGAAGTTGATTCAGTCAGCCTGAAAATCTGCATGTCGAGTAAAATCATTTCAAGAAGATTTACATGATGGAGTGTTGTGCACCTAAAGGTCCACAGTCGTTTATTGTGATAATATCTCCTAATTTCATCACTAAATTGCAAGATGACAGTTTGGAAATACGCACCAACACGAAATATTATTTGAAGGTCATCTTGAGTTATTAAAGCAAGCTTTATGTGTCGTGGCCATTGGAATATTTCCAGTAGCTGAAGGTTTAAGTAGGTCATCATCGGTTGTATTTACACTCAGGATCCAATATTATATCAATACAAAAGACACGTTGAAAGATACAGTGATATGACCTTTAATAGACAACAAAGATGGTGGTGTCAATCAAATGACTACGGCAAGATAAGAGAAGAGTCATATGACTTACCTCACTGCAATGATGAATAGTGGCCTCGAGTGGAATTCAGGATGTTTGTTTCGTCCTCTATCGGAGTCATCACCTTGATATACCTGACATTAGAACTCGGACGCTATACCGATCACTTCAAATGCTATACACCCTCACCCATTCAGCTATTAAATCATGATGGCAATTTCCAAACCTTCAACATCAAATGCGTTAATATACAACAAAGTCAGTTGTTTTAAAGTTACGCTCACAAAATAAGCGCGAATATCACTGAAATATTTTGATCATTGAATTCACACATTATCTGCAAACATCAGCCTATAAAAATATCCAGTAGAATATGTTCACAACGTCATGTGATCCATAGTCTGCACATTATGATTCCTACTTTCTTCCAGTGATAAGTTTCTCTCAGTATGAGTTTCTAATACCGTTCATCAATTACGAGTATTATTTTCTAGGTCATATCAACTTTCAAACACCCTGACATTATTCAACTCTGTTAGTATGCTGTAGTGACTTAGTCTTTCAAGTTTATCAACATTTAAGGAAAATCTTATCTCAAAACTATTCCAACTATGCAATTAATCTCCCTCTTTTCACAAGAAATACTTCTGTGATGAGAATTATCGGTCTCTGTATTGAATACTTTTGTTTATTCAGATAGGAAATCACATTACACTTTCATGGTTTTCTGTAATCATCAGTCCTCACTGACCTGTGTTTTTCTTTATCTCCATGTCAGTTGTATTAGTGGTGGAGAATGGAGAAAGATATACACAACCTACTGGTCATACCCAAGCTATTTATTATTATTATTATTAGTCCCTTGGTTCCTAGTGGAACATAGGGCTTCAGTAGCACGCTCCATTTCACTGTTCTCTGAGATCTTTTGAACCTGGTCCCACGACAGCCCACAACCTCTCATTTCCTGCTCGCACGACCTCCTCCATGTCACCCTCGGACGTCCAACTCGTCGCTTCCCATGGGATTCCACTCGAGGGCCTGACGCGTGATGTCCTCCGTCGGCCTTCTCAGTGCATGGCCAATCCATCTCCACTTCTTCCTGCATATTTGTTGCGTGATAGGTTCTTGGTTGGTTCGTTCCCAGAGTTCCTTGTTGCTTATTTTTTCTGGCCATCTGATCTTCAGCAGCGAGCGTAAGCAGTTGTTGATGAATGTCTGTAGTTTATTGGAAATGCCTTTCGTGACGCGCCAAGTCTCTGAACCATACAAGAGCACTGACTTGACGTTGGTGTTGAAAATCCGTATCTTGTTCCAGATGCTGAGTGCAGAAGATCTCCACACTGGTTTCAGGCTAATGAACGCCTGTCTTGCTTTTCCGATTCTGACTTTGACGTCCTCGTCCGTCCCGCCTGTAGTTGAAACAGTGCTTCCTAGATAAGTGAAGGAGGTTACTTCCTTCAAGTTTCTCCCGTTGACGGTGATTGGAGTTTGTTGTTGTTGTTGATGGTGGTGGTGCGGTATCTTCATCACTTCTGTCTTCTCTATATTCACCTGAAGTCCCGTCTTCGCTGCCTCTTCTATCAACTTGTTAGTTTTTGCCTGCAGATCTTCAAGTTTGTGTGACATTAGGCATAGGTCATCGGCGAAATCCAAGTCTTCTAGGTTCTTTTCCGTCGTCCAGTGTATCCCCCTCTTCTCGCTGCCTACTGTTTGTTGCATGATCCAGTCCACCACAATAAGGAATATCATGGGGGATAGTAGGCAACCTTGTTTCACTCCTGTCTTCACTTCAAAGGCATCACTGAGCTTCCCATTGTGGATTACTTGGCATGTGGCATCTTCATATAGTTGTTGAATGAGGCGGATAAAGGTTTGCGGTACTCCGTAGTATTGAAGCAGTTTCCAAATTACTTCTCGGTCGACGCTGTCAAAGGCCTTCTCAAAGTCGATGAAGTTGAGGTAGAGAGCTGATTGCCATTCTATGCTCTGTTCTATGATGATACGAAGCGTTGCAATTTGGTCTGCACATGATTTGTACTTCCTGAAGCCTGCCTGTTCCGGTCGCAGTTTTGAATCCAGTGCGTCTTTAAGCCTCTCCAGGATGATGCGGCTTAATATTTTACTTGGGGTGGATAGGAGAGTGATTCCGCGCCAGTTCTTGCAAGCACTGAGGTCTCCCTTCTTCGGCAGTTTGACAAGGTAACCCTTCTTCCAATCGTCAGGTACCTTCTCTTCCTTCCACACCTTCTGCAATAGTGGTGTGAGCATGTCCGCTGTTGTCTCTGCATCTGTTCTCAGTGCTTCTGGCGGTATTCCATCTGGTCCTGCTGCTTTCCCGCATTTCAGTAGCTTTATGGCGTTCAGGACTTCCATTTTCGTTGGGGGATTAATGTTCACTTGTAGTTCAGCGGCTGCAGGTGGTATTTCTGGACGAAGTGCAGGTGGTGGTCGATTCAAGAGCTTCTTGAAGTGGTCGGCCCATCGTTTCCTCTGTTTCTCTTCTTTTGTAATTAAATTTCCTTCTTCATCTTTTATTGGTTTCATCTGTGTTGGTCTCTTCCCTGATAGCAACCTGGTTATTTGATACAATGTCGTCAGGTCTCTCTTGCCTGCAGCCTGTTCTGCTTCACTTGCCAGTGTTTCGTAGAAGTGTCTTTTGTCTTTGCGTGCACTCTTCTTCACTTCTTTGTCCAGTGTTTTATACATTGTGCTCAGTTCCTCTTGTCGTTGAGCATCCTTGCACTGGTTTATCTTCTGCTTCACCATCCTCCTCTCCTCTATCAGCTTCCAGGTATCCGTCGAGATCCATTCCTTGTCTTCTTTCTTCTTCCTTCCTAATACTGTTGTGCAGGTTTCTTTCCACATAGCTTTCAAAGACTTCCAGTGTTCTTCCACACAGGTTTCTTCAGGGATGTTGCTCGATGTCTCCCATTTTGTCTTGATGGCTGCCTTGAAGATCTCCTTTGTAGTTTCATCTTCAGTTTCCGAGTGTTGTACTTGAATTGAGGTCTATCACCAGCTTCTTGAAGGCTTTTAACTTGATTTGGAAGGTTCTTGCACTAGGTAGTGGTCTGAACTACATCTGCTCCTTTCTTGACCTTGTGTTAAGTAGACTGCGTCTCCATTTTCTTGAGATTGAGATAAAGTCGATTTGATTTTTAGTGTGTCCATCTGGTGAAATCCATGTCGCTTTGTGGATATCTTTGTGCCTGAACACACTGCCTCCAATCACCAAATCGTTGAATGCGCAGAATTCTGCAAACAATTCTCCATTCTCATTCATTTCACCTAGCGCCTCTCGACCCATGGTTAGTTCTCTTCCCGTGTTGTCCCCTCCCAGTTTGGCATTCATGTCGCCCATCAGAATTTTGATATCGCCAACTGACGTCTTGTCCAGTGTTGATTGAAGTTGTCTGTAGAAATCCTCCTTTTTCTCTGCTCTGCATTATTTGTAGGTGCATAACATTGTATGATTGTGACCTTTCTTCCTTTTGAGTTGAATCTTGCTGTCATGATCCTGGAGGAGATTGGTTCCCACTGCATGAGAGCCTTCGATGCTCTTGAGGACATCATGATAGCCACTCCCTCAGTGTGCTCGTGGTTGGCGTCTGGGTGACCGGAGTAGATTATTGATTCTCCAGTTGACAGTTTGGAGAGTCCACTCCCATTCCATCTGCTTTCGCAAATCCCAAGCACTTCGATGTTATACCTTCTCATCTCCTTTGCAATCTGGGCTGCCTTACTGGGTTCAAACATCGTGCGGACATTCCATGTCCCCACGTTTACTTTCGCTTTCATCGAGAGAAGACACATCGGCCAATTGGCTTCCCGAAGGCTTTCACCAACTGGCGTCATTTCGCCTCTCCGATTCCAGCGGGGAATAAGTTTGTTTTCATTTTTTATATTTTGTTTGTGCTTTGAAGTTTCTTTAGCGGTTAGATTTGTTTTACGGGGTAGGGTTGCTAGCCCTATGCCCAACCTTCCCTCTTTACCCGGGCTTAGGACCGGCTAGTAACTAGTAAACAGTTAACCAGGCGAGGTTACTTTGAACCTATTCGGTGGCCACCTTCAGTATAACAGGTGGATAGGATTCGAACCTATGAGCTGTTTGTTGTAGTTAGTTGAAGTTAATGAACGAGGCAAAACTCGCTGCACTTCCGTGTAGTTGGCAATGAGCCACACCTGTTGTGTGAGGTCTAATTATTCTATCTAGTTGGCTGGTTAAAGCTTCGTAGATGGAGCGTTGATCAAACCCATGACTCACTGTTTGGAAGTCAACTGCTTAAACCAATGAGTCACAGCTCCACATAGACCAACAAGCTACGATCTCATACTAAACGAGTACCGAAAGCTAAGTTATATCAGGTGATGAAAGCTGGCAACTCGACTACATTTCAGCACTAGGTGGGTATATCAACAGCTTACATATTATTTCCTAGTAAATTAGTCTA